TTAATTATCTTTAAGAATTCGTCGGTCTCTTTTGTCGGTAAAACTTTTGTTTGCAGGATCTTGATTCAACTCATCTACCGCTTCTCCTTTTTCTTTTATCAACAAGTCACTTTTGTTTTTCAAAACATTGTCATTCTTCTCTAGTGGTTTATTTTCGAACACCCGACCACTACGGGTTATGCCCCCCATCCCTTCTATATTTGAAATTGCAGATTCTTGATCTGATGATGGCTCACATTCTTATTTCAAGCCATTGGCATATACAACCGGATCATAACTCCATTGTACTGCATTGTCATTTTTGTAAGGGATAGGAGATGGCCTTTTAATTACCATGGTAGCCTTTGGCGCTACTGGTATTCTCAAAGTTTTCTTTGTTATAAAGGTTTCTGTCGAACCCCCCTACGGAATCACGAGAGTTTTCTTGTCATGATAAGGAATCACCAATGGTTTCTTCGTACTTCCTTCAATTGCTGCTATATATTTAGCCTCAGGGTATGGTCCGAATTGGACTATCCCCTGATCCACCAATTGTCATAAGGTCTTTTCAAAAGCTTCGTTATGTTCCAACAGGAACCCACAATCTAACATATATTATTTCAACAATATTATCATAGACTTTTCTTGTTTGCCCGCCCCAAAGTCGACGACTACCTCGATTGTGTTTATTGTCGGACCACCACACGAAGGCATGGGTTTGATTTAATGTTCGACTTTTTGAAGTTAATATCTCGAGCCTCTAATAAGTCTTGAACCTTATGCTTAAATGCCCAACATTTCTCTAGGGTGTGGCCCAGAGAATTCGCATGATATTCACATCTAGCGTTGGTGTTGTATCTTGGTGGGAGTGCCCCAGGTGGTGGAGCAAGAGGTTTGAGTTCTACCAAAGACGCTTTGACCAAATGCCATAATAAATGGCTAGGTGACATACAGATAGGGATGGCAACGGGTCGGGTCGGGTGCGGGTTTCACACTACCCACACCCGCACCCGAAATCATCACCCGAACCCGAACCCGAAGGCTATTCGGGTGACAAAATCACACCCGTGCCCGCACCCGTTGGGTTCGGGTTTTTTCACCCAAACCCGAACCCGAAGGCTATTCGGGTGACAAAATCACACCCGCGCCCGCACCCGTTGGGTTCGGGTTTTTTCACCCAAACCCAAACCCAAACCCGCACCAAAAATAAAAAAAATTACAATTAAAATAAGGTCTCTTTACATTGTCTTCAAGAAAATGCAATCACAATTATCTTAACATAGTCTTCAACATCTTAACATTACAATTAAAATTAAATTCTACAATCAAATTACAACTTTTCAACAACAACAAGCTAATATATTACAACTTTCTTGTGTAAGATTAGATGTTCCTTCCGGCTCCGGAGTTGTGTTCACTTGATCTATTTTACCTATTACAAAGAAAATATATTTCACATGTTAAGAAACACTAATAGATATTATCATCATAATTTTAAATTGTAATAACAAACATGTGAAACTTAAAACATATAAAACATGTAACTTAATTCTTGGTAATGCTGAACTTTTAAATTGTAATAAGAAGAATCCTTTAGACCACTTCTTGATACATACATAGATGTAATAGCTTACAACACAGATAACATATCGCTTTTAAATTGTAATAATTTTAACATGCCATATTCTTGATAATTTATCATGTTTGCAACTGGAATAAAACTGCCTATAAAATGTTTGTCTACTAACTTTCAGCATGCTTGCATGCGCGTTAAATATCATGTTTTTGAACTGTCTAGAAACATAAGCACAACACTAAAAGAACTGTCTAATATCAAAAGCATTAGTGCAAATTAGTCGGGGCAACAATGGTGGAAGATAGAAACAATAATACTCACCATGTTAACATATAGAAACAACAACTTCTAATCTTCAAAATGGTAACCCAAACAACCTTCCATCAACTCAGCTGTATTAACAAATAAATTGATGTTAAATAAAACACTAAAGCTTAAAACTTCTACACCAAATGAAGTACAAAATACCTTCATCGTCTGACTCCATTTCATTCAACACAGTAGCAATTTCTTCTGCAACTCTAAAAATTCCTATATATATTATATAACAAGAAAAATTAGTAATATATTATTTGCCAATGACATACCAAAGTAGTAATACATTATATAACAAAAAAATTAAGGTAGAAAGTAAAAATAATTTGACAATGACATACCGTTATTCTCAGCAGCCCATAGCCAACTCCTAGCACACATCAAAGCCTCTACGGTAGTCCAGTTAAGTCGGCTACGATGAGGACTCAATATTCTACCACTATTACTGAAGGCCGATTCAGAAGCTATTGTAGAGATAGGAATAGCTAACACATCTCTTGCAATTGCTTGAAGTGTTGGATACACAACTCCATTTACCTTCCACCAATTCAAAATGTCAAATTCTGGAGTATTTTTTATAACTGGCTCTTTCAAATAATGATCTAACTCATACTTAACACTTGAACTTGAGTCTTCGGCAACGGCAATTGTCTCAACGTATGCATCAAATTCAGCCTCGTCATCAATAATAGCAGTTGTACCAATGGATGGAGCAGTAGGTTGTGCATCTCTAAGTTTAATCTGTTGATAATCATTGAGCAAATCATAACACATGTCTTTGATTCTACTAACTTGTGCACTTGATTCTTCTCCATACAACTTAGGAAACCAGAAATTAAGTACAACCATCTTCTTCCTAGGATCCAAAACTGCAGTAACTCCCATCATATCATGAACACCACTCCAATAATTTTGAAATTTTTCCATCATTCTTGTGGCCATCATCTCAATAATTGAATTGGAGGACTTCTTCCATTCTTCTATTGCCAACTTAATCTTACAAATCTTAGGAAAGTACAAGTTGGCAGTTGGATATTTTTTACCAGAAATCAACTCAGTTACTTCATTAAATAATTTTAAGCACCCACAAACATCTTTAGCAAATTGCCATTGTGAATTAGTTGGAAGACAAGTGTACAAAAACTCACGTAACCGAATAAATACATCCTTGTACTCTATGGCAATATCAAGCATCTTATATGTGCTATTCCATATTGTTGGACAATCCAGAGCTAACTTTCTAGTGCAAATAATTCTCAATTGTCTAGCGGTATCTTCAAATTTTTCATACCTTTTAGGTGTAGCACTCCAAAATCCTACACTATCCAGAATATTTTCTATGCCATCCTTAATCACTTGTAGCCCTCCTGAACAATTAAATTTAGGATCTGCGCACAACAACGCATATGTAACAAAGACCCATCCCTTATTAAACATTCCAACGACAACTTATCCTTAATTTTCCTAATCATTGAGTCATTTGTGCTACAATTATCTAAAGTAATCGTAGAAAGCTTTGAATCAATGTTCCAGTCCATTAAACAATTAACAAGTGCTTCAGCAAGTCTTTCACTAGTGTGAGGGGCTGGAACATAAATGAACCTAACATAATATTTACAAAAAAACAAGTCTTTCACTTATTGTCATTAAGAACAAAAAAAAAAGATACAATTAAGTTATAAAATATAAACATTGTTACCTCAAGATTCGACTCTGTAAAGTCCACGAGCCATCAATATAGTGAGCCGTAACTGCCATATACCCTTTTTTTTTGTTGCTTGAAGTCCACATATCTGTGGTAATTGCCACTCTCCCTTCATGGTTATCTAACATCTTCATAGCACATTTTTTCTCAAAATCATAAACTTTCAATACCTCCTTCTTGATTGTGTTTCGAGTAGGAACTTTAAACAATGGTTGGAGAGAAACAAAGACTCTTCTAAGACCAATGTGATCCACAATTGATAGTGGATAATCGTGCATAATAATAGCTTCAACAATCAACTTCTTCACATGTTCTGGATCATAAGTTCCAATTCCCAACTCTTGCTTTCCTTCTGAGATAGTCGGTAGGAGAAATGGTTGTCCTTTGTCATGGTTTATAGTCTTGATCTTTTTTTGAATACAACTCAAGAGATGTCCTTTCAAGTGATTTGTTCCATTCTTTGAAGTGCCACTAAGTTGTTTTTTACACCAGATGCATTCAGCCTTATCTTTTCCATTCACTTTCATCTTTTTAAATTCTTGCCACACATTACTTCTAAGTTTCTTTGATGCAGGTTCTAAAATTGTATCAATTTCTTCTTGTTTCCCAATATCAGGTTCATGTGTCGGATTCAGATTAGAAGATACCTCATGAGTTGGACATGGACTTTCTTGTGTAGGATTAGATGCTCCTTCTGGTTCCGGAGTTGTGTTCACTTGATCCATTTTACCTACTACAAACAATAAAAAATTTCATAAACATCCCACTTCAAGAAAATAACAAAATAGTAGAAACCAACACAGTTGGAGAAAAATGAATCTCTACTTTCACAGGTTGGAACAATGATTATGTTTGAACAAGTAACAACATACATTTACATGGCTGAGCAGCTATTGAGTTGCAAAAAAAATCTCTGCCGATCAAAGTTCTTTACAATTCATTTTATTTTCTAAATAAAATTTCAATTTCTTTTCTTTAAGCCTAATTTGTGATGACAAATCAATAAAAAAAAGGGAAACCATTTGCTAAAACTGTTTCTATTGTGTCTTGTATTGACCAAAAATCATAATGGTATAGATCTTACTACATGTTGCAGAATCAACCATTCCAAAATCAAAATATTCAAAAAAAAGTGCTGAAACTTTCAACGGGATTTAATTCTTCCAGCATTGAAGCTGCCTGAAAGTAGTCTGCAACATCACTCAATACCAAGTAATACCAAAATATTCAAAAAAAGTGTTGAAACTTTCATCGTGCTTGTGAACCAATCCCAAGTAATACCAAGGCATCTGATTGTTTGGTTCTATTCTAAGTGCATCAGACAACATGCTTTTTGCAGCAGGCAACGCCTTTGTACCCATTTTGTGAATCAAAGCAGTCATTAAGATTTTGTTAGGAATGTGGTTTGATTTAATTAGTGCAACATTAATAGAAGCATTGAGAGCTTCTATATTCTGGTCGCGTCCTTCTAACAAAATACCTGATATAGAAGTATACAAAAGAGTAAATAAATATGATACAAGTTGATAATTCTAAGCTTTTATTGACAAAGGATCTAGCCTTGCCTTAAGTGTGCAAAATTGCTGCAATGTACTCCTTCAACACCCGGTTTCGATATGCTGGAACCGAGAAAAACTTTAGGAGTGTCTCAAGCTGAGAGACAAAAATTAAAAGAGTTAAGTAGAGACTAATTAGTACATTGAAGCTAATTGTGTAAATTATTTAACAGCCTTGGCAATGCTAATTTTACAGCTCAAAGGGTTAAGTAGAGACTAATTAGTAATCATAAAGGTAAACCACTAATTAATAGGAATAATATGTAGTCTATGTCATCTATCTCAAATCTTAATAGCTACATGACTATCACAACTTTTCAAATCCCAATAATACAAATACAAATACAATTAACCCCTATTCAATCAAGAAAACACAAACTGAATTTAAAACAAGCAAATAAGTTTAATTTAGAATACAAAAAATTCTTGAAGTTTTTTAAAAACCTGTGTGGGATGTTCAAGCTTTGATCTTACGAAAGAGGATTCTTTCCTTCCCCGCCTTCCTCCAAAAGCTATAAAAAGGAGTGAATAAAGTATATCACAGGTTAGTTAGATATGAGACCAGGTTGAGAGAAAGTTATATAAAATAATATACAATGACACAAATGTTATGCTTCTTTGCCACATTAAGATATAAAACTGCACAGAAACTTTTTTGACGGTTAAAGAAAAACATGAGCAGAGTATATGATTACATATCCTTGCGACCATGAGCAGAGATGATGCTCTACATCAATATCATAACATTCACTTCAGTCTGGTTAATCTAAAGATATAAAACATGTGATACAACAGAGACATCATGATTATACAAAATTAATTAATAAGAAGAATAAATATGTAACTCAATAGGCTTATTTCAGTAACCAACTAATCATGCCCTTTGGAGAAAATAAAACCGACAGTAGAATACAAAATTATTTACTCATCAAGTAATGACAACAATTTCTAGACAATCCTAGCAGCCCGTCAATTTTTCTTATTCCAGCACAAAAGGAGACTATAAAAATTCAGTAAGAATGAAAATTGTATGTAACAGAAGCAATCATGCATACAAGACAGTACAAGCATTCTATGGCTATAAAAAGTATTATCCAACTCAAGCACAATACGCGCATATTAGTTACACTGCTAAGTATGAAACAAAGAGTAGTAGAATACTTGCTGGAGAAAAGGCATGTGACTCGTGTCATAACCATTTTTTCTCTTTGTAATATGATTTGCAATAACTTGTGTTACTGTCAGAATTTTTGTAAAGCAACTCGGTTGAATAATAAAAACAAACAAAAAACAGGTAAAAGAATGGCAAATTCACTATATTAGTGTGTGAATGACAGATGGTAGGTATATTTTAGCAAACAGAGGATATCCTGAATAGGTTTGGCTGATATTTAATCAAACAACAAATAAAAATGACTTTCCTAGCTAGTAGTAGTGACAGACAGACAGTCTAGTTCCCAATCCATTGGAAGATGCTATGCATCTTTCGACTCAACCTTCCACACTCTACTCATCAAATTCCAGATTCTCTGCCAACAAATTTTGCTATTGTTGGAATCAAAGTCAATTGGTCTCGATCTTTTAGCTGATTTCAAAGTTCACGGAGAACAAGTTGACTACAGAGATAAAGTGTTTGGGTTTTTCAGAATTCAGTGTTCATTAGTAAAACATAGACAAAACACAAACTGAATTCAACTTCTTGTTTGTTCTATCGAATATCGAGTCTATATGGTAACAATAGTGCAATCCCTTGTTTATAAGAACGCAAGGCACTTACAATAATCCAGATCATTCATAACAAACCATTAACATGAAAAAGTTATTTACAAGTGATAAGAATTGTGTAAACTGCAGTCAGTCTAGCATATGATAGACAGAAGTTCAAATGCTTTAAATCGCCCGAATCCGAACAAAACTATTCACAATTCACCATGTCGAACCAATTTTTAAAAAAATTGATTAAATCAGAACGGTTATTTGGATGTGAATCCATTCCAGCATATGATGTAGATTTTCATGTGAGACTATATACCAGAAATATATACAAAATGTGCAATTCTACAAATAAAAACTAGAAAATTGAAAGAAGCAATGCATAGTAAAATTGATTCACAAAATTTACGAGAAACGTGTAACAATCTATGGTGGCCACAAATCGCAGTGAGGAATGAAAATTTGAAAAGAAAAATAAGCAAGATATAGAAGGAAAACCTTCTGGCGGAGTTTCTGGCTGTTACGGCGGTCAACAAGGTACTCCGGCGGGTTTTTCCGGCGAGGTTTTCATTTATACGGTGGATTGAGTTGAGTGTTACTTCAGTCCAAACCAATTTGTTTCTTTCTGATTCAACAAAAGAGCAAGGGGGGATTTTGTTGTTTTTGATGGAGGTGCTGCGTTTTGATCAATAGCTATGGATGAGTGATTCATGTACCTTTGGAGAATGGCGAGAAGAGGATTGTATGAAGAAGATGACAGAGGAGTTTGTAGGCGCCGGTGAAGAGGCGAAGGAGACGGAGAAACGAACTAACGAAGGTGACGGTCTGACGGAGGTGACGAAGGTGACGGAGGTGACGATGGCGGTGGCCGGTGGGTGCAGTGAAGTGAGCGTGACTGCGTGAACTTGAAAGTTGAAAGTTGTAAACCCTACATTTTATTTTTAATTATTGAAATATATATATATATATATATATATATATATATATATATATATATAGATAGTTTTGTAATTTAACATATAAGCGGGTGTGATTTCGGGTTTCGGGTGCGGGTTTAAGCTATCCCAAACCCACACCCGAAATATCGGGTGGCACCCGAACCCGAACCTAAACCCAGTCAATTCGGGTTTCACCCGTTGACTCGGGTGCGGGTGCGGGTGAGGCCCGCCGGTTTGGGTCTGCTTGCCATCCCTACATACAGAGGGGGTCAAACTTCCTCAGAGGCCTGTCAAACTTATTCTGTTGTTGCTGCTCTCGCGAGATCATCAATGGATGTTGTGCTCTTAGTTATGAAGCCACAACATTAACTTCACCGTCCATCCTTTTGGTAAAATTAGGAACCACCCTTTTTCTATTGAAATGAGCATTTGATGACCCCCCTTGAATATTTCCGTTATGTATCCCTGTCTCAATTATTTCTCCAATGGTCACTAAGTCAGAAAATCCTGAAGAAATGCTTCCTACCATCTTTTCATAGTATACTCCTTGTATGGTTCCCACGAACATGTCGACTAATTCTCTCTCCAGAAGTGGTGGTTGTACTCGAGATGCCATCTCTCTCCACATTTAAGCGTACTCTTTAAAGGACTCTTCCTTCTTTCGGGATAGGTTTTGGAACTGTGTGCAGGTAGGTGCCATATCCAGGTTGTATTTGTACTGCTTCAGGAACACATTGGCAAGATCTGCCCATGTTTTTATACGCGTCCTTTCCAACTGCATATACCAATTCAGTTATGCCCCACTTAAACTGTCCTGAAAGCAATGGATAATCAACTTCTAGTTCTGAGCTTAGGCATGCATTTTCCTACAGTACATGCACAAGTGGTTTCTCGGACAAGTGAGCCCTTTATATCTTTCAAAGTTAGGTACTTTGAACTTCTGTGGGATTATTACACCCGTAACGAGACCCATTTCGAGGGCATCAACATCAAAAGCATCATATCCTTCCACGACTTTCAACCTTTCTTCTAAAGCTTTGTATTGATCTAGTGCCAACGATTTTTCAACAGCAAAGACATTGGTCACTTTCTGCGGTGCCTGATTAACATCCTCCAAATCGTGATCTTTGTATTGTAAGTCCAAGTAATCGTCAGCATGATTAACCGAAATTTGCAGGGTATGAGATGCCCCTGCCTTTGGTGGATGTGTAATAAACTCCTCAGATTCTTGTCTTGTCTTGTGTTGAGCCATGACAGATTTCTGTGGCCCTATTTCCAGTCCTTTTCTCAGTTGGTGACCGCCTGATGTACCAATAGCTTAGGTTATTTCTTCGAAAGCTACTTTGGGAATCTGTTCTTGACTATCAATGATGTTCTTCAAGGCTATAAGAACATGACTCATATCTCCTCTCATTGAGTCGACGTTTGTTCTAAATCCAACTAGAAGACTGTTTTATTCTCTTCTATTTGTTCCATGGCTCTTAGCTGGTGAGCTCTTGTTTGATATGGCGGCCAATGGGATGGTTGTTTCCTTCTACCAATGGTTCAACTGAAGAATATTTTTGAAAAAGATGAGTATTTGAGTGGAAAATTTATGAGATGAAATGTTTTTATGAGCGCATGATTATGTATGCACAATGTTAAAATTTATGTTTTGCGTGTCTTATTCACATGGGTATATATATATATATATATATATATATATATATATATATATATATATATATATATATATATATATATATATATATATATATATATATATATATATATATATATATATATATATATATATATATATATATATATATATATATATATATATATTAGGTTTTACTTTTTTTTATTTGGTGAGTATCTGGAAAGTGAATACACAAACAAGCTAGGAAACACAGTGCTTTTATTGAAACGCCAATCGTCTTTAAAAAGATAATACATTTCAGATACTGAAAAATATTACAATTCTAAAATAGTAAAACTTGCTGGAAAGGAAATAAACAAAAAGGAAACAATCTTCTAAGCTCGTTTGTGAAGGTCTTCTTTGAAACGATCGACCATCGTCCTGCATAGCTTGAGAAAAGTCAACATCCTATGGGAGAGGGACCATTACACTTTCTTCATCCTTTAAGCTTATGAGAATATCTTCAATGAGATTGTTGGCCAAGAACGCGAGCTTATCATGCTTATCTTTTTAGTACCGGTACTCCTGGTAGAGGTTGGGAATTATCTTGTGGTTATCCCTTCTTTCTTGGGAAATCTTTGTATATTGTTCTTCCCAATACATCTTTTCAACTCTCAGATCCATATAAAGTCTTTGCTGTATTAGGAAGTCCTTCTAGAGGCCCTCTAACTCGAGGCATACTTGCTCATACTCATCAGTTTTCTGGGCCAAATGTATTTCTGCCCTCATCTTCACAAGGTGCTCTCTGGCTTCTGACTCTTGGCTATCCTGAAGCCTAGTAGTGAGGTATTTCAATTGTTCTTATTGGTATAAATATTCTTGGGCCAAGCTTTAGATCTGGGCCCTCAACTCTTCCTCCAACACTTTCTTTTCCTGCACAGCTTTTTCATACCATCTATTCAACCTTCCGATTTCATTGGCAACATATTCCAGTCTCTGGTTATGGGAATCCAGATTAAAGGTAGCACTTAACAACCCTTTGGTTGAACGCTTCCTTTTAAAACTTTCCTTTTCAAATGCTTCGTGTTATTTTTGAATTTGTTGGTCTTTCAACTCGAGTATGCGCTGCATTTGTTTTTTCTCTTTGGTCAAGTTGAGAAGATTGAGCTCTAACTCTTCCTTCTCTCTCTAAGCCTGCTTCAGTGCTTTTTTCAAATCATCTACCTCTTCTAAAGACATAGGAGGAATGACTGGGACCTCTTGCTTGTACTCAGGATCTATACCAAAAGGAAGTTTGATAATTTTCACCCTGTTTAGAACCCATTAAGTGTAAGGTTCTTTAGCCACTGCATTTTTCTTTTCTGTTTTTCTTTTTTAACCCTACTCCAAGCCCAGATGATTTTGTTGAGTAGCTCTCGATCATTTCTGCCCATGTCATGAATAATCAATTGCTAAAGTTGCTCATCTGAAGGTTTGTCTTCCAGAGGATACCCTAGTTGTCGTAGGGCGATGGTGGGATTGTAATTGATGCAACCTTGTGACCCAATTAGTGGGACATTAGGAAAATCCCCATAACTATAGACAATATCACCGATATCTAACTTCCTAGCATACCACAACACATAGCTAGCAGTGAGAGATCTAAACTTCTGATGCCATTCATACCTTGTTAGATTCAGAACCAAATGACTTTCTTTGTAAAGATGAGTCATGAACCAGGAGTATAGTAATGGAATACAACAGTTTAAGGTACCTCTTTTCTTTTTGTACCGTGTATGAATAACATAGTAGATATCAACAAGCAGAGCTATAGTGGGGCCTGTATTAAAAGTCTTTGTACCCCAAAACACATTGATGGCTGTAGGGTCAATATAGTCTATAGTGCGTGGAAACAAGACAACACCAAATATAAGCAGACCAAGACAGTCGACACAAGATTCCCATTCTTTGTTTTTTCCCTTCCAAATCAAGAGCTTCGCTCTCCAGATAACACCTCTTAATCCCTCGCACTTCTCCTTCTTTCTTATAATTGAGAGCAAACTCAGAATAAGGGATTCCTAAACCTTCAGCCAGTATCTTGATATCAATGGTTTATCTAATACATGTATAAGCCTTCTCTTTGGAGAAGTTCAAAATTCTATCTAGTTCCTCTAAGGTCAGAGCTAACTGGAAATCTTGAAATGTGAAGCATCTCAGTGGAGGATCATAGAACTGTACTAGAGCAGAAATAGAATCCAAATGCACTTCGACTTTAATTAAATCCAAGATATCCCCATAGCGACGAGTAAATGTTTTTATGGCCCTTTCAGATAATATTTCCTTTATAGCTTTGATTTGAATCACATCTGGCTTGGTAACATTGATACGAACGAGCTATTTTCCTTTGGTATTCATTTCCAGACACTCACACAAAAAACCTTTACTCTTTTTTTATATTTCTTTATACCCTGTGAATAAGACAAACAAAATCAAATAATGTATGATGAACATGTGAAATGTAGAGATGCATGAATATATGAATAAAATGTTAAATGACGGGATTTAGTGAACAATAACCCTTAGAAGGTAGGCTCTTAGTTTGGTTTTATGGATGTTCTACCCTCCCCATAAGGTGGTTTCCTTAAGGGCATCATGAATAACACTAAAGGGAATGGCACAAGGGCCTCCCTTAAGCTGAGTCTCTTTGCAGACCAAAACTTTCGTTTCTAGGTCATGAAAGGTCTCATCATGAGATTTTAGTTTAGGGTTATATAAAGAGCCATATGTGTCATTCCAAAGTCCTACTTCCCAAGAGGATGTCTCTTGAGACGTATTTATTTTGCGGAATTCCACCAACTCTAGGCGAAGTTGTCACATAAACTCATAGGGATGATGTATCCCCTTGGCTAATAGACGAACCTTCTTTCTAAGGTTTATTTAAAAATATTTTGCAAAATTTAAAATCCCGCCACATACATATAGATATAATGAATAATAAGAAAAAGCAAGAACATAAATAAATAAATAAAATAAATAAACAATAATTAAACAAATATAAAATCCAAAAAAAAAATAAGAAACCCTTAAAAATCCTAAAACTAAAGGACAAGGCTTCTAAACCTAGGGTTGAGTCCCTAACAGAGTCGCCAACTGTTGCAACGGGTTTTTAAGTAGAGTCGCCACCCTTAATTTTTATCCTAAAGTAAGGGAGTATAAAGGAATAACCCTAACAGAAATTCAAAGATTCTAGGTTTGGACTCAGTTCTAGACGAGGGAAAGGTGTTAGACACCCCTTATCTACCTTATTCGCAAAAGGTTTAGAAGTGTGATGTTTAGGAAATAGGGTTTTTATTGTTTTATTAGGGAAAAAGGTTTCAATTTTAGTTAGCGGGACTCGCCACAATTTTTGATCGTATGCCTACGTATCCTCTTAGGAGGAATTAGAGTCCCATTTCGTAGTTCGCGGTTTGTTTGTGTTTTTATGGATTATGAAATATATTTTGAATTTCCCACGTATGTGGTCTAAGAGTATGAATAAGCGGAATTTGTTAGACCAAGTATGCAGTTAACTTAAATATATTCTCATTCCTTTTCGAAAATTAATTTTGAATTAATTTATTATGAAAATAGTTTGGTGATGGTTTGAATATTTTTAGACGTATAGCTGAGGAGTCTGATATAGCCTCCTTATCACGTGGTCAGATATTGGTCACGTGTCGCTTGCGGAT